TGATGTTGGGAGGAAGATCCCTTTCTTATTGCCATTCGTGAGGAGAGAATTATGGGATATCACAACCCTATGGTTTTTGTTAAGGTGCTTTTTTGGGTCCAATAAACCGTAGCAAAGGCCGTGGAAAGAATTGAGGCCGATTCCCAAGCAAAAGTGGTGTTGAAGAGACAAGCGCGAAAACGAAGCCGGTCGCGACAAGGAGACCTCAAATTTTTACTTTTTACAACCAACACAATGAAAGCCCAAAATACCCAGATGATGTCTTGATTCTGTGACATGCGGATGTCCCTATGTACATATGTATGTAGATTTTCATGAAAACACAACCCATTCCCTCTAAAGTATTTCAGAGGCTAGTTTACGAAGTCTGAACACTTCGTATCAAAACCCTGTAATCGTACCTCTAAGACTGTGCAATAGTATCCCCTTATTCACGTCCTATCAACACCATAAAAAAATCTTGCACGACCCTGCAATTTTGTCGTATTCCAATTTTGAAGGGGTCCTGAGCTAGCTCGACTTGCTATCCGCTCTAAGAGACAACGGCTTTGGACACGGAAAATTTCGGGAGCCGAGAGACGCGAAGCCAAGCCTAACATAGAGGGTCCAAGTCCCGAAGTAGCAAAGCATTAGACCTCGAAGCCTAGGCTCTGAATTGTATGGGGCACCTAAGAGGCAACATCCTAATTACTCAATGGGCACTGGGACGACCCTCAGCGTAATATTGGGGTCGGAAGATTCAGCAATGGCGTGCCCTTACGGTCCCTCTACAAGAATACTGCACATTTTCGCATGGTTCTTGTGCAATCCTTTTCGAGTGGTACAAATGTGGTTCATTTAAGAGGTCAATTCCTGTGGGCAGCCATACGGTAAGCATTCGGATTTGTGTTTGAACAACCCCCCTTTCATAAAACACTCAGGTCTAGTCGCTAAACCCTAAGCTCCCTAAACCCCCAGTGGCCGGGCCAGGTGCCCTTGAACGTGGATGCCGGCTGCGCAGATGTGAAGGGAGCTTGCTCCTCGAGATTGCGATCTTTTCATTCAGCACACCTCACAGGTTCCAAACAAGTTTAGGGATTTGGGGTTGGAGAACATGCACTTTAAAGACCGTCGGATTATCGGTGTCTTACAAAAGGGTTAAGAAGGTATGGCACAGGCTTTTGCGAGTTTAGGGCGACAGGGGTCTTGAGAAAGCTGCGGCTGTTGAGGTCTGTCTGAAGTCTTCCAAGAATGACACCCTGATGCTTCTGAGGCGTTATATACCATCATATGCAGGCCCCAATTACAGTAGCTCTTTGTGCTGAGCTATTAGTTCGGAAAGCGAAGCTGCCGATTGGTAGGACATGAAACTGAAAACGCCCTTACTTGGTTTACCCAAATGCCAAACGCTCAACGCCCAGGTCTTTTCCTACTCCGTGGACGACCTTCAGAAAGTGGTGCAGGTCCAGCTTAGTCGTGGCCGGCGGAATATTTCTAAAGACTACAGTTTCCTGTGTTTTTTTCCTGCTGTTCCGCTCTACATGCACGTCCCTTGTTGTCTGAAGCTCCCGTAAATCCTCCTTGACCATGTAACACTACATGTTCTCGGCTGATTTTATTCTATTTTAGTTTGTTGATTTGGCTGTAGTGTAATATCGAGGCCTTAATAGTGACCTATACTATTGTAGGGGGGTCCTTATTACAATGATAGTATAATGGCCCCAAAACCCTATTCTAATTCTTAAGGCCCCTATATTAGAGATCGCGGCCGCGCTCTGGCAAGTGAACCTTACGCTACTCCTTTCAGTTTCCCCCTCGCAGGAGCACTGTAAGCAGTGTCGACCTGGAGTTGCTCCTGAATCTACCCATAGGCCCCAGAGTAGTTCCTTTTTGGGGGTTAATATTTCGAATCCTATAAGGTACATATTTCGAATCTTATAAGGTACATATTTCGAATCTTATAAGGTAATCCCAAAAAGGAGCTACTCTGTGGCCTATGGGTAAACTCTAAACCGAAAACTCTAAAGCCTAACACCCTGAACTCCCAAGATTGTTCTACTATAGGGGCCTAAATAATTTACCACTGCTATGGTGGCGTTCCTTGTTATATTTATGGTAAAATATCCCATCCAAATGCAATTCTAATTATTACGGCCCATCTATCACCCAAACCCCGAGACGCACGACAGGCCAATGCCCAGAAGCGGCAGAACGAGGTCGAGAAAGCCAGGAAATTCATTGGTCCCGGGCCTAGAAGACATACGGTGGTTTTGTAAGGCCTTTGGGGATGTTTCATATAGATTAGTACAAAGGTGATCATCGGGGTGTTGTAGGGTTTTGGGGCTTGAGGGCGTGAGGCTCAGGGTTTAGAGGCTTGGGGTCCTAAGATTCAGGGTTCTCTGGGCTGTAGGCGAGAAGGGGTTCATGTCCAAGCGGCTTCGTTTCGATTTGGGGTCTAGGGGCAAGAGTTCAGGGTTCAGGGGTTCAGGGTATGCTGCTTATACAGTGCCTGATGTACCCTAAACCCTGAACCCTACGAATTCAATGACGGGGTCTGCCGTAGTCGTTTTCCACCGGTTGCCGAATCGAGTTGTCTCAAACGGCATCCTAAATTTCACTGCTTAAGGAGTCAGGCCCTGCACATACTATAGGGGCTTTAATCTTTAATAATTACCAATACTATTTGGGGGCTCTTGATTATGATTGTAGCATGATGGGCCCAAATTCCCTATTCGAACTACTCAGGCCCTATCTTACCTGTATTACCTATATGTATATACATATTCACATATGTATATATGGAGTATCCATTGCAGTTCCTTCTCTTCTGGTTTAACCAAGTTTCTGTGTAGGATTCTTGTAAGAGGAACTGCAATGGAGACTATGGGTAGATTTGAAAACAACAACAAGCCCAAGCCTCCAGCCCGTCATGCCAGCTGTCTGTTGACGGAGTACGCTAAGGCTTCCGCTAAGGGGTACAGTAAACCCTAAATCCTGAGATACAAACCCTGCATGAACCTCGAAACCTATAGAACTTGTCTAAATTCAAGCCCAAACCCTAGACGCAAGCGTGCGATAAGTGGGCTACACCCCTGACCCTAAACCTCAAACCCTACACCCTCGACCCTAAACCCTAAACCCCCTGACCCTACACCTCAAACCCTGGACCCTCACCCCTAAGACCCAATCCCTAAACCCTAAACCCTTAACCCTGAATACAAACCCCTAAACCCTAAACCTTTAATATATACACCCTAAACCCTAAACCGTTAATATAACCCCCTAAACCCTCAGAGCCTGACCCGTCCCAGTGTTTGCCAAGTGCCCCCTCGACGGACCGAGGCACTGAAGTGGGCAAGTTCAAAGTCTGGCAGGCTCCTATTTACAGTAGAAGCCCAAAAGTTGGAAACCCAATAGCCTCAATCCTTATAAGTTAATAGTAATGTATAGGGAATCCCGGCACTATTTGGCCCTAATCCGGTTTCCAACTTTATGGGTTTACTATAAGGGCTCTTAGGGTTTAGTAGTACAATTAGAAGAGGGTTCCCTTAAAGGAGTCCCTAAGGGTTACTATAATGGCCATTATCAGGATTTAATCTAGGGCGTGGGGATTGGATGGGAGTTTCAGAAAGGTCAAGGACCTGAGAGCGGGGTCCTTTTTGGATAAGGCATTATAAGGCTCGCCTTGAACATCATTGGCAGTCTCAGTCGCATTGAGAAACCTGCCTATATGACTTCTGATGTGGACGCTCAAACGATACAGGTATCTCGGCATCAGTAACAGTAGCAGCGGTCGCAGCAGTAGTAGGACAAAGACTTGCCTATACTCGACTGGTAGAGTACAGTAGTGTAGAGTGGAATGGAGTGGAGCAGCGCAATTAGAGTACGGCGAGTAGAGCGGCGTGCAGTAGAGTAGAGCAGAGGGAGCTCAGTATGGTAGAGTAGAGTAGACCAGAGCGGAGTAGAGTAGAGTCGAGTAGAGCGTGCAGAGTAGTAGACCAGCGTAGGGTAGGTAGGGTGGAGTAGGGAAGACTACTAAGAGGCTCAGGGGACGTAGTAAGTAGTTATAAGTAGGGTTATAAGTGCTTTAAATTGAGGTACCCTGAAAATACTCAGGGATCAACTTAGGCAGGGATGCGCGTATGGCCGGGATAGCCGTACCCCTGGGGGCTTTTTCCATGGTGCACCACAACAGGGCATTTCGAAGTTCAGGCCACCCCCATAACACATAGCAATCCCCACATCTACTGTATCCATTCGTCGGGACTTGGCTACTACACCTGCAGCATGAAACATGAACTGTGTAATTCTGTCAAACATGTCTGGACGGTCAACGGGATGGACGGGATAGCGGTACCCCTGGGGCTTTTTATGGTGCACCACAATGGACGAAGTTCAGGCCACCCCCCACAACACATAGCAATCCTCGGGCAGAAACGTTATCCATTGGCCGGGAGTTGGCTACTACACCTGCAGCTTGAAGCATCTACGGTGTAATTGTTCCCAAACATTCGACATGTCTGGGTGGTTTCGAAAACTATGCTGATTGCATGCAGGGAGCAGGGCTTTTCAATTTCAAACACTTAAGAATAATTTCTGATAAAGGAATATATATGGCAGATGTTTTCTGTTGTTGTGAAGGAAACTTGAACTTCTTTATCATTTTTTGAGAAAACAACTCGTCGGCCCAACCCCGAGAACACACCAGCCCTTGAAGCCCTGCTTTCGACTCGCCGGACACCACATTGTGCTCCTGACGGACACCAAGAATATCTCGCCGGAGCAGGTGCCTTCCGCCCCCCCGCTTTGCACACGTTGCTCATGGCTGTGATTTGCTCATGTCGCTTGCACCTGCAGTCGTGGTTGAATTGTTGGCACATGGAGCAGGGCATGACGGATTGCTGCGCATTTGGGTCAAAGAGAGCCTTGAGAACTTCTAACTCGTTATCTACTCGTCGATTTTTTTCGCCTTGGCCATCATGTCGGGCCCGCCAACCCCTCGTGCGCCGCTCAAGGAGTACATGCCGAACGTTGGACCCCGGATGGCCACGACGTACGCGAAGGCCGAGCACGCGAGGAACAGGGAGGTGGTGATCATCGCCTACGGTTCGGAGATGAACTACCCCGATGGACGAAGACGCTTGCAAAAGAAATAGACATTCATCACGTTTGCACGAGACATTGCTTTGTGAACACGTGATTCATGTCACAATGACTTTTCAGGTGAATCGCCGGAGAACTCGTACTGCGCTGGACACACGGGGATCGTACAGGAGTATTGTCGCTGGGCTTTTGGCAAGGAGAACTTTACCTTTCAGACGGTGGACGTTCGAAATCTCGGACTGACAAACGCGGAGTACGACCAAAACACTCCGAGGGGTTTCTGAGCAGCAGTTCCTCAGTGTTTGCATGAGCCGTTCATGACAGGAGTGTGTGTAAGTAACAGAAAGGTTGCAAGCAGTTTCTTTAGTTCATGTGCGAGGCAACCCGGCGGTCAACTACGACGTTCTGAAGCACCTCAGTATTGGACAGAACGGCATGTGGCAAGCGCTGGTCTTACTCATTGGACTCATCTGGACGTGGTTCGAACTTCGTGGGCCACAGCAAAAACTCGCGTTGTTCTTGCACTGAGACTGTGCTGCAAATTAGATATCGGCGTATGTCTGACTACAAGCCTTTATTTAAAGTGCTTTGGTGTCTCTACTTTGAAGTTCTTCCCGTTGGTTCTGGTTATTTCAGAAAAAACTCAGGTGCGAAGGGCAAGCACAGGGCGGCTGGGACCGGATCGCTTCTTTCGATTGCCACCGGTTTCCCTTGTTATTTCCCGACGTTCAACTTCCCCAACGTCTGGGACGCGCGGTTCTACTTCGTTCGACTACCCGCTGTTCTGCCGGACTTGGACGAAATCAACGACTTCATTCTCTCCGCGGCGGACTGCGCGAAGTACCCCTTCAAGTCCGAACCTCGCCGAGAACTCGCCTGGAAGATCTGTCAGGTCAAACACAACCTGGTCGAGCCGGACTCGGACCTCGCCACGTGGGTCTATGAGAACAACCTTCAGGACTCGCAGGACAACGAGGGGTACTACTCGGACACGGAGGAGGAAAAGGTTCTCGCAGACTTCAGAGGCGAGAACAGGACAGTTCGACGGACCAGGAGAAGGCGAAAGGCACCCACGCCGGACAACGCTGATGAAGAGGAGGAGGACAAACCCGTGGAGCAGTCGTCGAGCTCGGACGAGGAGGAACAGGAACCGGCGGACATGAAAAAGTTCGAGAACACGAAGATGTTCCCCGGAGAAGCTGTGGACGATGATGGCTTTGTTCGTGTTAACAGAACAGGCAAGGGCAAAAAGCTCGGTCTGGACGACGACGTACCTCCCAAGATGTGCCCGGAGAACTACACCGCGGTGGACATGATCGAGTTCGCGCTGTACAAGGCACGCCAACGCGGTGGACAAGTCGCCGGTGGACAACCTCTGTTTGGAGATGGCCAAGGAGAGAGAGTCTTGGCAGAAGAAATAGCCACTCTGGTAGTTATCTCTGATTGTTGCATTCCACAGCCAGTCCAAGTCGGACGTCTAGATCTATTATTAGCCACTAGTAATCTGATTGCACAGATCAGGAACGCGCTGTACTCCTTTACAAAGCTCCATCGGTGGCCTCCGCGATGGCCCTGTACAAAAACAAGTTCGACGATCATGTGTGGGGGGCAACCAGATTGCAATGACAGTTTTCATTTTCATTGTGTGTTCAGGCAGGCGAGTGTGCACTCCTTGGTTAAATCAGGCCATGGCTTCTCTCGTTGAGCAATCCCCGTGGGGACGTGTCCTGGCCCATGACATCGCCAAACAAATGCGCAGTGCCTCGACGATTAACTTGGTGTTGTGCCTGCGAATGAATGCTGTGTCAGTGCTTCTTGACGGTCTGAGTCTCCGATGAAACTGAGGTAAGTTCATGGACGGCGATATCAGGAACCCGTCGAACTATTTCCTGACGAACATCAACACGAAGGCCAAACACGCGATGCACCCGAGGAGTTCCTTTGAAGCATTAAACTTTGGCTAGTCAATACCCAACAGTCCAAGTTACTCCTTGTGCACTGCCTTGTGTGCTCCTGAGTTGTTACTAAAAATGTCCTGGCACTGCTTGGCTTTGTCCCAGGCGACGACGAGGAGTTCCAGGCGTACAAGACGGCCAAATCACGCCGGGTCCAGAGACAGGCCAGGGGGGCAGGCGAGGGACCGAGGGACGGCTGGGAGCCGGTGAGATCGCCGAGCCAACTCAACCAGCACGACCTACCCGGTGGACTTGGTTGGGAACGTGTCATGGACTCGCTGGACGACGACCAGAACCTGGTCATCGAGGGTCTGCTGAGGAGGCAAAGGACGGAGGAGTTGAAACGCGAGGGCGTTGACACGCCGGAGCATGGCGCAGGACACCCCTCGGTGGACAGACCTAAGGGTTCTTTCGTGCCGGACAGCCAGTCTTGGTGCCCACCCCAGCGGCCACCCATGCACGTGGAGAACACGCCGGACGCACCCCCCATGGCCCACCACGGCCCTCCACTGCCTCGTGGCCCACCCGCCGGACGTGCCCCGTCGACCACATCCAGCAGTGCAGCAGCTTCGTCTGGGCCGACCATAAGGCCAATTTCAAAGACGACGGGCAAACCCTTGCAACCCACGACGGCCCCACCCAAGTCCCCGGGTCAGTCGAGTCAGTGGCTGGGACGACAGCAGGACAACGCGACGTGGAGCAGAGCGCTGGACACACGAAGGCGCGAGGATATCAAACCCGCCGTTCCACAAGAAGCTTCCCCGAGTTCCCCACCCAAGCAGAAGGCCAGGCCCACGGCGCTCAAAACCCCTCCCGCCGACCCCCCGCAGGCCCCGGCCAAGGCACCCGCTGTTCCCTCCAAGAAAACCACGAAGGCCGAGCCACCATCGGAGGACGATCGGATGTCTGTGCAGTCCGCAGGTCAAAAGTCGACGACGTCCAAAATGGGGGTGCACTCGCAGTTCTCCGATGCCACGTTGGACACCAGTCTGCCTGGATCCGCGACGGCCACGACAAAGGACAAGGACAAGGCCAAGCTGCTCAGGGCCATGCAGATCGCAAAGGAAGAGATGGAGGCCAAAAAACTCGAGGTCCAGTTCTTGAAGCTGCAATCACAGCTGGAGGACCCGGAGGACGAAGATGAAGATGTCGACGTCGAGGAACACCCGGTGGACGACGACGACGACGTACCTGGCTCAGGACCCGGGCTCGGGAAACAGCAGCTTCATCTTTCAGTACATATTATTAGTAATATCCTAAATAAGCTAGTATGCAGACTTGGGCTCCGTATCACTTCCTGCTGCAATTTGAATTGAAGAGGCATTCTAGTTCATGTTCAAACTACAGCCCAAGTCTCCTTCATCATTTCAGTTTCTTCAATGACATTGTGCTGTACATGAAGATACCCAGAATACATACATACATATATATTTATATATGTAAGTAAATTAAGTACTTAGTTATTATTATTACAATATTGTTTCTACATGTAGTCTTTCCTAATCCATTATCCATACATACAATAGATACGTTGAAAGATTGCTGCTGCATATGCTTCTGGTCTAGCAACATCCTAGTCCACATCATGTGTTCTAGTACCAAGATTATTCATTCATTTCTCTGTTGCAACATTAGTAGTTGAAGATATTCTGTTGTCAGAACAGGAAACAGTGCGTGGGACCTTCCTCGATCACGTGGGTTCATGCACCTTACTGGACAACTGTTGGCGGAAGGCACTTGGGTGGCGGGCGCGTGGTATTTCAATACTAGATAATTGTGCTTGCAGCAACAGGTTATTATTAGCTTCCAATTCAGGTAGTAATACAGGTGAGCATGGTTCTGCGACATTTTTTGTTGATGAGATTACTCAGCTATACACCGAAGTTAGACATCGGCAGTCGTTTGGTGTTGCTGCTTTGTCGGTTTCCTCCTGTTGTTCTTGCTGGGGCCTCGTAGCTGGGGTTTCCTTCTTATTCCTGGCTATTATGATTCGCTGCATGCTATCCTGACATGTTAGAGTTACTTGCTGTGGATTGCAATATTTATGAGAAGATACATAGCCTTTCCTGTCCCATGCATCACCCTGGCTTTGTCGCAGAATTTCCGGCGGACGATGGCACAACGGGCGATGGCGAGCACCCGCAGGAGGAAGAGATCCACCCGAAGGACGAGGACCAGGAGGAGGAGGAGGAGAACGCGGTGGAGGATGCGCCGGTCGACCCCCCGAGGACTGTTCCTGTGTCTGGACCGCACTAACTAACTCAAGGGATTGCATTGCAGTGTGTCACTGGTTCCCTGCTGCGTTTCAGCCCTCCGTGCAAGGCCAGAACTCCGAAGTCCACGCCGGCCGCTGCTATGTACAGACCCGTTGGACGATCGTAGCAAGCTTGATTTGCATGGTACACGTCGGATCTTGATTTGAAAAATAATATTATTGCTTAGGCAAAATACATTCAAAAGCATTACCATAGTTACCAGCTTTGTTTCGAGACCCGTCGTTCCAGCAAATCTTGTACATCGCCGGACAGAAATCTATCGCCGGACACAAATCTTTTTGCACATCGCTGGACAATTCGTGTGCACGAGAACAAAAGAAGTGGCCTGCAGATGCCTTGGTTGGCTTTCCACTGCTGTGTCATACGATTACAGAATTGGTTGCTTTCTGCCGTCAGGTGCCCCCAACGGCCAGGCATCGTTGCAAGCTCGGCCCTCAGCCCAACTCGGAGCTTCTTCCTGGATTTGATGTTCAGTAACTGGAGAACAAATAGCCATATCATTATAGACACGGCGTACCATATAAAGAGGATATGTGCGACTTCTTAGCAAGTCGAGGTGCACTGCTTCTACTCCAGCGTGGTTGGGGGTACCCTTTTGTTGCATTTTTGGGGGCTTCGGTTTGAGGCACGGTTTCCAACGGACACTCGTGATTCCAGCCTGTCTTTTCTAAGAATGCCTGAGCACCTCAACGGCTAGTTTCTCGGTATCGTATCAGATACATGAAGCAATCTACTAAGCGTGAGCACAACAGCGAATCAGTCCATGTCGCTCGGAATAACTTTAAGTCTACATCCTTATAATATTTCTTATATCCCAGAAAACCTCACAACAAACGTTTTCGAGATGCAATACACTTCCTGTTCTTGGGTCCTGGTATGTCTAGTGAAAAGGCCAGAGACATTGGTAATTACATGGGACGGAATTTTGCTGGGCTCTTTGTCTGTCTGTATTCCAGGTATTTATTTCTAGCACCCGCGGTACTGTAATGTGATGAAATGATAGGACATTCTGTGGTTTCTTCCCACACAAGTCTTAAATATTTAGATTCAAAGCCCTGGCACGCGCAGGTCACCCGAGCGGACTTTGCATCCCTGCATTTCAACGAGGACGAGTGCAGGGTGCCCAGCCTTTCGTCTCCCAGTGGCATGCAGGAGAGATGCATATCTGGATGCAAAGCCATTGCTGCATTGTTTTTTCAGATTCCACTAGGGCTTTTCAGAGAATGATTTGTTGGCTGAGCTTGTCCAACCTGCACCCGCAGCTGCAGCTTGAGATCTTCCTGTCTTCTTCCCCTCGTCCTTCTCCTTTCTGCTCTCGCCGGACATGTCATCCGGTTCGGACTCGCGTCGTTCCACTCCGTTCACTCGCCGTTCCGTTCCCAGTTTTCTTCGGCCTTCGGACGACCCGCTGGACGAGACGCAGTTCGATTTTCGCGGGATGGACTATTACCTTGCATCTCGGCAAGGTATGGAGCCGCAGACAACCGTGGAGCTACGCAATCTGGACTATATCGCGCAGCTCCCCCCGTCGGTCCTGGACTTCATCCCGCTGGACGTGTCCGCGCCGTACGAACTCGAAATCTTCTTGTCGGACTTGCTCCTTACGCAGGCCTATTATTTTCGCCTTGGACCTTTCCCTGGAGTGGAGAACTGGGAGACACGATGGATCGAGACATGCTTTGGACCCCCGTCGAGCATCACGAAGGACACATGGCCCAAGACGTACACACCTCAGTTCACAGTTCAGCTGGCAACTTTCGTTGAATTACATGCAGGAAATACTTAAGGTAGGATATTGACTTAGGCTGTGGACATGGTTGTCGGCCATGGAAGGGACCATCTACCAGCGACCCCGTGTACTTGAACGCAGGAGACAGCTTTGCTTTTATTGAAGTACGGTTTAACATAGTGTAGTAAATTAAAACCGAAGCAGGATCAGCGACCCGGAGGGCAGCATCCAGATACTCGTCGATCAAATGCAGGAGGACAAAATGCTTTCGTGCAACTCTCAGTTCTCTTCTGGCCAGTGCAAGAACTGTTGGACTATCATTGCATGGTCTGCTCCGCCGTTCGGCCATTGCGAGCTTAATTAGCTTCCTACAAATGCACACCAAGGCTGGCCTGGAGGCAGGTTACCGAAGCCGCGAACAGGCGGATCGACAACGCTCTACACACAGGACTCCACAGGCATCTGCTTATCCCTGGACGCCCAGTTACCCGGTGGGTCTTGGACTTGCTAAACGCGGACTGGGAAGGGTTTCCCGTCGCTGTACCCGTCCCTTACCATGGTCAACTCTACACGGCCACCGCGTCGCACAACTCGGAGGACCTTTATTTCTGTATGATCGTGAGGGCCGACGGACGATCCACAGCCGAGCATTATCATTTTTTTAGTTTTTCTAGGAGTGGGACTGGGTCTGCTCTAGGCCTTTGCAAGGAAGGGCTGGCATGGTTTTTGAAAATAAAGATGCGCGGGCCCCTGCTGATGCCAGGAAGTGACATCAGCTTGCAGATCAAAGGACTTCTCCTGACCCCGCTGGACTGGGACGACTGAGAATCTTGTGCACTCCTTGGACTCGTTGTGAAAAAGTTTGTTTTCCGACGGACACTATTCCCAAATGTTTTTTCGTAGGACGTGTACAGACACCCGCTGTTCCCACACATGGTTCCTGCGGAGAAAAAGGCAGATGGCATCTCCCGGCAGAGCTGTCATGTGCACTGCAATTGCATCATAGGTTGACGACAACAATGCAAAGCCACACATGCTCAGGTCGTGTCCATGCAGCTTCTTTGCTTCTGCAGCGCGCTCAGGGTGCCGCTTAGCAAGCTTCAGCTCGTCGGACAACAGCAGCCTCGCTGGTTCGGAAAGATACACTCTGTGTTCAGCTGCCTTTGCTCAGTTCCAGTGTAGTAACCGAAATCGATACAATGCCACTCAGGCCTTCCGATTCTGGACTTCTCGGAGAGCACAACGCCGGACACTTGAGCGTAGTACTGCCAAGGGTTTTTGGTGTTGGGAATTTGGAAGTCTGAGGGATGGGTTCGAGGGCTACTCGCAGTTCAACTCGAAGACTCACAGTGAATTGCATGAACAACTATATGTCGATATGTTTCGGATTCAGATAATTCGTCGGCAATAAGTAATTGCACTCTAGCGGATTATATTCATAAAAGCACGAGTTGTTGTATTGCATGGGATTAGTTTTTGGCTCTTGGTGTTTCAAGGTGTGGTGTGCTTGCATGCACTCTAGCGTGGCTATGCGTGCTCTTGGTGTTTCAAGGTGTGGTGTGCTTGCATGCACTCTAGCGTGGCTATGCGTGTGAGGAATAAATGCGCTAGTAGTGGTAGTAGTAGTAGTAGTAGTACTAGTAGTAGCAGTAGTCGTAATAATTGTAGTAGTAGTACTAGTAGTAGTACTAGTAGTACTAGTAGTTGTAGGAGTTACTGGGGTAGTAGTAGTCGTCGTAGTAGTAGTAGTAGTAGGACTAGTTAGTACTGTAGTAGTATAGTAGTAGTAGTAGTAGTACTACTACTACTACTACTAGTATTAGTAAGTAGTAGTACTACTACTACAAGTAGTAGTCGTTGAAGTAGTAGTGCTTGTACTAGTCGTAGTAGTAGTACTACTACTACTACTACGACTAGTACAACCACTCTACTTAGTCGTAGTAGCAGTAGTAGTAGTTGTAGTAGTAGTAGTAGTAGTATATACTAGTACTTGTGTAGTACTACTACTAGTTGTACTTCCACTACGACTAAGTACTGCTACTGCTTCTGCTGCTGCTGCTCAGTCCCACAAGTACACCAGTAGTAGTAGTAGTAGTAGTACTACTACTACTAATGCTACGATCACTACCAGCACCACTTCCTTTCACACTGCTACTACTACCACTACTACTCATACTGCTTACTTGTGGAGAACGGAAACCCAAAGGGGCAGCACGCACCCTCGTTTTCCGTCCAAGCAGAAAGTCCAACGACCGTGACAGGTCGAACGTCCGCCCAGGACGGGCTGCGCGCAATTGCGTCGCGGCAACGAGAAGCTACCAACGACACACTGCCGTGCTCACTTGAGCCAAAAATGTTATGAATACGAATTACAGAAGAGCATGCATAAAAGCATACAGCACAACAGCCAGCCCGCAGACTATGTACAGTTACATTCGCCCCTCAGCCGAGAGCACGATAGAGCCGTAGGATTCCGCGGGCGGCCGGAGGCCGTAAAACTGACCTACAGACCCTGCCCTCCTACAAACCCTTCGCACTCAGCACAAGACCTTCGTTTTTCACGGCCTGTGCTGCACGAGGCTCTGGTTTCCTACTGTACACAGCCTGCGCCGCACTGCGGCCACAGGGCTGGTGAAACGAGCAGCTGAAGCTGCGGCGTTACTCCACGCGCTTCGGGAGCACTACCGTGCCTCCCTAGCCGCTCCCGTCAAAGACCTGTAGAGCGGATACGCCACCCTGTCGTCTCATCGGAAAGCAGCTAGGTGCTGCGACCAAAACTGAAGTTGCCACAGGTGGCTAGAAGGGCGGAGCGCAGTCCGCGACTTCTAGTCCACGGTCACTGCGGCTCCACGTTGGGTTGCGCGGCGGGCTGCTGGACATTTGAGGGTTTTGCCCGCCCGCGGTGGTTCCGCTGAGGTGCTTCGAACTCCTCGAGCTTCAGCGCCTTGGACCACTCGGTGCCAAACGAATCTAGCCACTTTTGGCTAAATTCAGAGGTCAGCACACTGGCGACCGCGATGCCGACCTCCGCGTTGGGCCGTGAACTAGCACTAAAGTTTAGGCTTCCTATCACGGCGCTAACTGTGGAGTCCGGCCTCGTCACGAGCACCGTCTTGGCGTGGTGGATGCCCGCGAGGCCTGCGCCGATGCTCACGTCCGTGCGGTTCTCGGCGGCGTAAGCCGCCTTGACCGAGGTGCCCTTGCCGACACGGACCTGGACGCCAGCCGCCCCTAGCTCCTTGAGGGACTGC